AATTTATACCCAAGTGTTTCATGTTTGAGGCTGTTGCAAATTATAATATCTATTTTTTGTAATTTTTATTTTATAAACGTTCACCTTTAGAATATGAAGCATAATTGGTTTTATATATTGATATTGTACCTTGAAACCTTGCTTAATTCACTTATTAGTTCTAATAGCTTTATAGTGGATGATTTATAATTTCCTATATAGGTAATCATGTTATCCGTAAAGAGTTTTAATTATTTCTCTCCAATCTACATGCTCTTTATGTCTCTTTCTTGCCTCTAGGATTCCCAATATAATATTGGGGGGAAAAAAGTGGTGAGAACATGCAAAAAAATACAGATATATATAATTTGATGAATGGATAGACAAATGCATTACTTATTCATATTATCAGGATTTAGACATGGAATTGGAATCGTGCTAAATTTATCAAATAGGGGGAATCTGATACAGATAGATATTTATACAGGCATTAGAAATTTTATAAAACTGATCCCAGAGATTGGTAACTACCAGAAGCAACTGCACTCCCAGGGCTGGGTGAATAAAAGAAAAGAGATAGTATCTAGAAGGGCTGTTGCACAGTTCTGTGTTGAGAACTTTCAGGTATGTCACTTGGCTGATGTTGATGATGAAGGTGCTTGGACCTTCAGCAGACAGTGGTCTGGCTCTTGCTGAGAGTTCAAGAAGATGTTGAAATTAATGTCTTTGGCTATTAGAAGACTGCCAAAGCTTTTTAGTTTGATATAGCACTTTTTTTTTTTTTTTTTTTTTTTTTTTTTTGCTTTTACTTCCCTTGCCTTTAAGGTCAAATTCATAAAATCCTCTCTAAGACCAAGGTCCATGAGCTTAGAGTTTAGTATATATGTTTTCTTCTCTGCAATTTATTGTTTCAGATCTTATATTTAGGTCTTTGATCCATTTTGAGTTAATTTCAGTGTACGGTGATAGGAAGCCATCTAGTTTCATTCTTTTGCTTGTGGCTTACCAATTTTCCCAGCACCATTTATTGAAGAGGCTTTCTTTTCTTATTGTGTGTTTTTGGCTCTTTTGTCGAAAATTATTTGCCCGTATATATGTGTGTGTTTATTTCTGGGCTCTCAATTGAAGTTTTTCTGCCATTTTGATTATTGTCACTGCTTTGTAGTATAATTCAAGGTCAGGGGGTTTGATACCTCTGATCTTATTCTTTTTCCTTGAGATTGTTTTGGCTATTCAGGGTCTTTTATGATTTCATACAAATCTGATGATTTTTGTTCTATTTCCTTAAAAAGTGCTAATAGAATTTTGATGGAGATTGCATTAAATCTGTGTGTATTGCTTTGGGTAATATGGCCATTTTAACTATGTTGATTCTTTCAATCCATGAACACAGAATATCATTCCATTTTTTTGTGTCTTCTTCAATTTCTTTTGTAAACAGCTTCTGCATAGCCAGAAACAGAAAAAAAAAAAAAAAAGAAAAAAAGAAAAAAAGAAAAGAAACCATTAGTGAAACAAAGAGGCAACCAACTGAATGGGAAAAGATATTTGTAAACAACCACTCTAATAAGGGACTAATATCCAAAATATATAAAGAACTCATACAACTCAATAACAACAAAAATTCAATTAAAAAATAAGCAGAGAATCTGAACAGACACTTCTCCCAAGAAGACATGTAAATGGCCAACGGATATATGAAAAGATGATCAATTGCACTAGCTATTAGGGAAATGCAAATCACAATGAGATACCACCTCACACCTGTTAGAATAGCTATTATAAATAAGACAAGTAATAACAAGCATTGGAGAGGTTTTAGGGAAAAAAGAACCCTCATATACTGCTGGTGGGAATGTAAATTGGTAAAGCCACTATGGAAACCAATCTAAAGTTTCCTCAAAAAAAAAAAAAAAAATCTAAGAATAAAATTACCATATGACTCAGAAATCCCTTTTTCTGGGCATCTACCCCTCAAATTTTGAAAACATTGATCCACAGAGATATATGCAGCATTATCCACGGTGGCCAAGACATGGAAACTACTAAAGTGTCCTTTGAAAAATGATTGGATAAAGATGCGGTACATATATACAATGGAATATTACTCAGCCATAATAAAAGATGAAATACTGCCATTTGCAACAACGTGGATGGATCTTGAGATTATCATGCTAAGTGAAATAAGTCAGACAGAAAAAAAAGTTAAAAACCATATGATTTCACCTATCTGTGGAATATGAAACTGAAAGCAACAAACAAGACAAATACAAACAATGACAAAACAAAAAAACTCATAGACACAGAATACAGTTTAGTGATTACCAGAGGGAAAAAGGGGAGAGAGGAAGGTAGGTAAGGGTAAAGGGGGTCAAATTCATGGTGACAGAAGATTTGATTTTGGGTGGTGAACACACAGTACATGTGTTATTAAATTTTGTTAACCAACGTCACCCCAGTAAATTTAATTTACAAAGAAGACTGCCAAAAGAAACCAGAAATAGGAAGAAAAATCCCTTTTCCTCTTTCCCATCTTCCAATCTCCTGCTAGTGCTCACCATTGGCAGAAATTAACAAGTATCCGGAGGACAAAGGGGTTTGCAAAGTTCGTAGAAACCCAACCTGAGCATTCCAGAGAAGAGTATAAAAAGGTGGGATACAATCAGAGATACAGTAGGTACATTGCTATTATAAAAATTAAAGTAAATGCAAAATATTTTATAAATTGAATACAAATTAAGATAAAGGAAGCTCACCATATATCACAATGATAATGTTATACAAATGTTACAAAACATTTTTAATTGAATTTTTATTTTAATTAAATTTCTGCTTATTTTTTAATTGAATTTTTATTTTTTAATTGAATTTCTAGTGACTTTATTGAGTACTTAAGTCAAGTGGATAAATTTCAGGTAGAAAGTATTATAAACAAATTTTAATCATTCCTAGGTGATTTTATCAATTGTAGAGATATTATAATTGATATTTTAAGACAGTTAATTATATTTCAGTGTAAAGCAAATAGGAAATATTAGAAATAAAATTTTCAGAATAAAGATATACAGCAAATGGGTAGTGAACTAAACCCAAGCCCCAGCTCTCTTGCTCCAAAGAGAATATAGGGTGAACAAAGACATAACTCTACATTAGAAAATAGATTCTCCACTAGTTGTAAGAAACTACTGTGGCAGAACAAGATAATTAGCAGTGTGCCTTCAGTGAGTATTATAATTAGCCTTTCGGTACAGCAGTTTTCTCTTTTAATATGTAGTTAGCATCAATTAATACTTGTGAGGAAAATTTAAAGAAAACACCATATATTGTTAAGGTTAGCTATTATTATTATTATTATTATTATTATTATTATTACTGATAACTTAGATGAAGAAACCAAGACTGCTGGAACATACTTAAAGAAAAGACCTCAGTTGACTTCCTCATATTGCAAGAACCTAGTCTCTAGAGGCCAAAAAGGGAGTTTCAATGACAAGTGAAACAGATTCAACCCATTTCAGAGATAGAAAGCATCGTCACAGGAGAATGGAGCAAATCAGAAGTTATAAGGTGTTCAAATAGGCATAAGCGAAAAGTGCACAAGTAGAAACATCATCAAATCAGGTTGTTGGGTGACCACTGGTTTGTTACGTTTATTTTTTTAAAATCTACTTTAATGTATTGCTATTACACCCAAAATGAATGCATAGAAAGTATAAAAATACTCATAGAATTTAACTGCTTTCTCAGTATGCTGCTTTAAAAGTAATATACTCCATGGAGTGCTTCAAAGTTTTGTATTTTCCTTTTTGCAAGTCAGTGTTTTCTAATCTTACAACAATAACACACAAGATTTCAGTAATATAAAATAAAGTGCTTACTTGGAAAACTATAGCAATTATAAAAAATAGAGAAATTAAGAAATAGTCTTGTAGTTTTAAATTTTATATTATAAATTCATATATTTTAAATCTATATTTTCTAACTTCATACGCTAAAATGGCCTAGCATCAATAAGTATACGTAGTGCCAAATTTTCTCTACCTTCATTCTCTGCCAAAAGTAGCCAGGATTCCTTGAAGAAATGCTTATCTCCAAGTCACAGGAAAAAAGAAAAAAAAAAGGTGTGTACATAGAAAAGATATGGCAGGAAATACACTAAGGCATCAATAGTAGTGATCACAGCAATGCAGAGATGTGATAATGATGATCTTTCTGTATTTCCAAATATTTATGTACTAGGTTTAAGAAAATAATTTTTTAAAAGTTATTTTAAAATTTTTCTATGTACTTCATTAGCCATCTGGAATGTTTTAGCTTTAAAATTATTTATATGGCCTTGGTCAAGTTATTTAACCTTATGAAAACTCATTTTACTCATTGATGGAAAAAAAAAAATACTGTTCTCATAGATTTACTGATTCAGATTATGTATATAAATCACTTAGCGTAGAGCCTGGATCAGATTAATGATTAATAAATTTCGCTTCTATAACTCTCCTCTCAAAAAATTATCAGACTTAATTGCTAACATGTTTGTCTCCTGCAAGATAATGTAAATTCTGTAGAGGCAGAGATGGCGGCTATCTTGTTTTCTATACTCTCATCTTAAAAATATGTTCATTTGTTTTCTTCTATTCTAGAACAACTTACTTTAGAATAAAGATTCTGCATCCTGTATATTTTCTATGGATTATTTCATTAGCTTTAAAGGATTTTTTTCTCTAAGTTGTTACTCAATACCCGTTTGTTCACTGGAATGCAAATAAGGGTGTGATAGTTGATAGAACTTGCCCTATTTTCCAGTTATTTTTCAACCTCGAACTTTACTCACATAATTACTTCTGGATTAGCAAGTGAAATTTCAACCTTATTATGCCAACCCTAAAACTAAGTGAGCAACTCTGTATTTAGTTAGATACAACTTCTAGGTGAAGCTAGAGCACTACTAAGCACACTATTCTGGCATATTAAGCAAGTTTGTTCTCTGTGTTCTGAAGACAGAGGAGCATAAAAACTACATCATGGGAAGAAAATCCCTGTACCTTCTGATCCTGGGGGTCCTTGTAGCATATTATGTTTATATACCTCCGCCAATTGATTTTGAAGACCCATGGAAATTAATATGGCTTAATGCAAAAATGAAAACTATAATACATTTGGTAAGTTTGAAGTTTTATGAATTCACATGTATATGCAACCATTTGATTGGGAGAAATTTTTCCAGGACTTTGCTCAGTTTTTTTGATTGATTGATTGATTGATTGATTGAATCACCTTTTAAAAATGAAATGCTTCATATTTTGTTTATTTACTATTAAAAAACATTGCTTCCTTGTTCACTTGATTTGTTTATATATCAGAATCATGTTAAAAACAAAGAAAAGCGAGGAGGCATTTGAGTAGCTTTTATTAAAAATGCTTCGTTTAGGTAGTATTAATGTCATGACAATGATGTTTGTTTGAAATTCTTAGATGTTGTTTAGTATTTAATTTGTCAGCAAATCAGAGATCATCTGAGTCTGCAACACTGTCTTAGTAATAGACTTTCATGCAATCATTTTGAGATCCAGAGTGCAGACTAAGGGAATGTAAGTAAGCTCTCTAGGAGATACTCCGTAAGCTGACTGGTTGGCAGATGTCCAGGATTAATGATGAAAGGCATGACGTACAGATTTGGAAGAGAAGACCCTGGAGTGTCAAGGCAACTGCTTGCCTGGCTGTGTCTCTGCTGCTGGCCTGTGAAAAAAGATATGACTCTCTTTGGTTTCTTGGGGATGTTTTCCTATTTCTTCTTTGATTATTTTATTTCCTTCATTTAAAAAAAAAAAAACTTTCTAGAACTTAAATCGATGTTGCTATGACTACTAGGTTGATCTTTAATTTTTCATTCATTCAACAATTAAACTCTCTATCAAATCCTATTAGGCAAACAAAGAGTCTGCCCCCAACAGAGCTTACATTTTAGTGAAGAAAAATTACAAATTAGATTTAAATGAATGGATAATTTCAGATCATAAGAAGTAGCTTGAAGGAGATAAACGGGAGGAAAAGAAAGTAATTTGAGAAGATGACAGGAGCGGGGCTGCTGTATATGTGGTCTAAAAAAGCCTCTTTGAAGAGGAAACATGTGCTTAACCACCAAATTATAAAAAAGAACCAGCACCAGCACCAGCACCACAGATGATCAGGAAAGTTTTCGAGCCGAGCCAGCAACCAGTGCAAAAGTCCCAACTGCAAAATATTGACAAGTTTAAGAAATCATGAGACATTTGGAATACATGGGGGAGTTGTCATAATTTAGTTAAAAGAGGTTAGACGTCATATCACACAGTGCTCTGTGGGCAATGACAGCAAATTTTGATTTAATTTCACATGCAATATAGAGCTATCAAAGTTTCAAGAAACAGAACAATTTTTTTTTTTCGTTTTTGCTCTTTGCTCTACAATTTGCAATAGGTCCTTGATTATTTTTTCTTTGAGCTCTGCTATCACTTTTTAAAACATTATTTAAGCAATTATACATATTTTTTTAACTTTTTTTCTCAGTTAGCTTTTTTTTGTAGCTTGTCCACCATTTATGAATGTAATACATTTTCAGAACTCTCAAAAAAAAAAATCCATCTTTAAAACTATTTTAATGTCTTTTTTCATTCTTGAATTATCTGAATTATCCTGAGTGCAGTCAATTATTCTCTTGATTCATCTTGTTTTTCTTGACTAGTTTGGCTGGCTTCCTTCTCTGGCAATCTTTGAGTATCTGTTCATACATTTTATTGAAGGATTATGCTATGAACATTAAATTGCGAATCGAACTACTGAATTTTAAATCCTGGAAAATATCACTTACTAGCTGTGACTTTGGACTACTTCATTAACTTCCGTGGGCTTATTTTGCTCATCTCTGAATATAGTGATATTACCAACTTCATATGTATAAAAGTCATTAATATTATTGAGATTAATACACATAAAGTGCTTAGGACACTGACTTGTTCTATGGTGAAAGAACAGTTTGCAGGTAGCAGGCTGGCCTTCCTTTCTTCTCCCACCCATTGCTTCACCCCTAACCCTGCCTACCATCCCCATATGCACCCAGATTTACAACCACACTTCCCTGAGTCAACAACAGTCTCCTCCTCTGCAAGCTAAACTAATTCTTCTGTCTGGAAGGATTTTTCCTTCAAGACTCAGATTAAATTGTTACTTCCTTTTTGAAAATTCTTTTTCATTTACTACTGCAGCAACTCCTCCTGCTGTTTACTCCTAAAGCACCATGCGCAGAGCTCTATGGCAGCATTTACATTTTTTAACGATTTACATATTATCTTTCTCACTTAACTCTGAGGTTCTTGAGATCATTTCTCGTGTTCTAATCTGTGTAACCCTAAAGTTTTGCAGAGAATTGACACATTTTTGGTGGAAAGGACCAAATGTGAGAACAGCCTCTGCCCTTCTGGTCCTTCTGAAAGGACCAAAGGAGATTTGTGTATGAAAATTTAGTTCACTGAACTTGAGCTTATTAAAGCTAATGTGTATTTTATATGTTCATAGATCTCTGACATCTGGAATTTGAATTCTAAGATGTGCATGAATTTCCTTTTCAGGCTAACTTCATCGAACTGCTGGGACTTTACAATTTTATGGATATCATCAAGATTCTTTTGCATGTAAAAGAAGTTCCACCAATCTCAGATGAAAATATCACTGTGACTGACACAACTTTCAACCACATCCCCGTCCGTGTATATGTGCCGAAGAAGCAGTCTAAAGCACTAAGAAGAGGTATCTTTTACATCCATGGTGGTGCCTGGACTTTCGAAAGTGCTGGTAAGTAAACGGCTTGGAAATTTTCTGTCACTGGGATAGTATGCAAAACTTTTATTATAAAATAACGTCTTGAGTAGGCATACAATGTGCTTCTGTTTAGAAACTACAAACTCTCATCTTCTCTTGTTTTGCTCTTCTGGCAAAGATTGACTCTTCCTTGAAGACTTTAATTACTCTCTTCCACGTACACTTTTCTCATCAATTAAAGCTGAGAGCACAAAAGTTTTCATATTAATTGCAAACAGTCTGAGAGAGTATGCTTAGCTTTTTTTTCCCCTTCGATATTAGAAAACCGTCTAATGCATTAACTCATTTACTCACATATTTACCACATGCCTGGCAATATTCTAGGAGCTCTGGGTATGTCTTTGAACAAACAAAACTACCTGCCTTTTGAAGCTTACATACTAATGGAAATAATCTCTAATCAGCCCATAAGTGTTATAAAGTAATAAATGTAGAAAATAATAGACTAGGGTAATCAAGATTGAATATGAAGGTTACAAATTTCTTGACATATAGAATTATAGTAAAAAGAGAAATATATTTAGATGCATGACCACTGGAACAAAATTTCTTGACATATAGAATTATAGTAAAAGGAGAAATATATTTAGATGTATAACCACTGGAACAAAAGTCCCAATTGTGTGACTTTGAGAAAATCACCTAACCGGCTTGAGTCTCAGAGTGTTTGATATTCATCTGTTTACTTTAGATGAATGGGATGTTGATTAACTAAGGGAATGGAGACTGCATTGGGTTTGAATTTAAGAACTCTGAACTCCAGAGAGGGAAGAATAAATTAGTTTAAATTTAAAAAAAAAATGTTACTGTCTTAAAATTAAGTAAAATTTTCTGTTGATGTGGGAAGTTAGGAGAGAGGGAGGAAAAGGAAGAAGGGAGAGAGAGAGGGAGAGAGGTGGGGGGAGAGAGGACCTGAGATAATCATCTTGCTCTGATAGAATGACTGAACGGGGGGAGGACAGAGACATAGTGTTGGGTGAAGGAATAAGCAAAGAGATAAAAAGAAAATAAATAAATACAAAGAAAGCCAAAGAATGTGAGTCTCAAGAAAGATTAATAAAAAATAATTTTTTTATTAAAGTGTAGAGACACCAAAAAGCGAGAGGTAAGGACATGTTAAGAATGATTGCTGGCCTTAAAGGAACTTAATCATAAAAGGAATAAGCAAGTGAATGATAGATTGAAAGGACAGTTAAGTAAGAGCATTTACTTTTATTTTTTTGTTTTATATGAGAGAGACATAAATAAGTTCATAAAACTGAAGAAAATAAAGGTAAGTAATGGAAATGTTAGAAAAATAGATGGGCTGAAAGTGTTGACCAGTGAAGAAGCAACACAGAGGGAAGAAGAGGGAAGAAGATTCAGAGCACTGGTAAAAAAATTGGATATACACAGGATTGGAGATGGATAAGGAGAGCACCAAGGCTTCCTCTTAGACAAGAGAAAAAGAGGCAAACTCAGGGCTTAGCTAGATACATTTTTAGGATAGTAGTGCAGATGCAAGCAGGGAATGAGGGAGTTGTAGCTTCGTATTTTAAGGAAATGTCTTTCTACCCCACTTATTTTCAGATGTTTTTCTCTTGACTCATGCAGATTTAAGTGGTCCTTTTGTGTTACCACAATTCTATTTATATCTCCTTGGCTCACACATCTGACAGTACATTGGTCAAGTCAGTGACTTCTCTTTTTTTATATTTAAATGCCCATCACCTAACACAGACTCATATATCTCCTCCAGTTAAGGGAGTCTTCTAGAAAATAAAATTACCTTAGAGGAGCCAATGATCAAATGTGCAGGGCAAAAGATAAAAGAAACAAAGAGCAATTAAGAGGCTCATTGAGAAACTCAAGGTCTTCTGAGTTGTGGAGAGATGGTTTCTTACGACTACGTTTAGCATTAAATGTATTTCCCTAGTATTACAATATGAAGCAGGTGGAGAACTTCCAGAATACAAAGCAAGCACAAGATTTTTTTGTGAAGGGAACAGTCTCCTCTTCATTTTTTCATTCCCACTAACATCTTTTTATTTCAGCTTCACAAAACAATGACCTGTTTTCAAGATGGACAGCGGACAGACTTGACGCTGTTGTCGTATCACCCAAGTAAGAGCTGTGTTGGTTTGTTTTCAGACCACATGCCTTACATGCCACAATTCTCTCAGCTTTATTGTACGATTATGCCAAATGTGTTTTAGTTATTATTGAGTAGGTGATAAAAAGTGAAGGCCAGGCCTGCCTAATCAGATTCAAGAAAAAAAATATGGGTATATATATGCGTGTGTTATTCAGGCAGGAAGGAAAATCTAAAATTTTAATTATACTATCCATGAACAAAACTACTTGGACTGGATTTTCTCTCAGTGTTTAATTCACAGATTTTAGCAATGAGAACCCTGGGACCATCTATAAAAGTACATCATAATAATTCCTACTTTAGATGGTCATTGTGAAGATAAAGTTGTAACATTCCTGAAAAGAACTTAGCTCCATATGTAGCACTTGAGTCTAAAATGTTAAAATGTATTATCAAATGAACAGACATGGTCAATGAGTTGGTGTAAAATAACTTGTTGGATCAGTAATCTGTGTTGAAGAGAAGATTTAGGACACTAAAATTAAGGGTGAATTGCTAGATAGACTAGGTCAGAGCTGCATATGCCTATCTAAACTTAAACTTCAGAAAGAAAATGTTAAAAGAAACAGCCATGACTATCAAGTTATTTATCATTATTATAAAGTTGGAACATAGTCATGTAGAATTTAGAAAATACGAGTTTATACTGTTTTGTATCCCAACTTTATTTTTTAAAAATTATTTTCTTGAAGATGGCAAGTCAAATGATCCTGTAAGATACACACCTATGTTAGATTCATTGAAATTACTAATGAATCACACATTTCTGAAAGATAAAATATACTTTAAAATTTTTATGCAAACACAGGTCTTACCTTTAAATATTTAACTTATATTAAATATCAATTTCATTGAATAAAAATAACATAATTTCGACTCTATTAAAATGGACTGTAAGCACCTGAACAGATGCTCAACATCATTAGTCATCAGAGAAAAGCAAATCAAAACCACAATGAGATACCAATTTACACCCACTAGGAAAACTGTAATAATAAATACTGGCAAGGATGTGGAGAAACTGGAACCCTCCATACTGGTGGGAATGTAAAAAGGCTCAGCCGCTTTGCAAAATATTTTGGCAGTTCCTCAAAGGATTAAACATAGAGTTAGCATATGACAGCATTTTTCTCCTAGGTATATACACAAGGAAAACAAAAAACATGTCTATAAAAACTTGTATGTACATAGCAGCATTACTCATAAATTCCCCAAAGTGAAAACCCAATGTCCATTGACTGATGAATGGATTAATAAAATGTAATACAGCCATACAATTGAAAGTTGAAGATTAATTATCAATGGAAAAGAAATGCTATAACATGGTTAAATCTTGAAATTATTATGGTAAGTGAAAGAAGCCAGTCATAAAGGCCACATATTATATGATTTTATCTATATGAAATGTCCAGAACAGGCAAATCTACAGAGACAGAAAGATTAGTGGTTGCCTAGGGCTCGAGACAGAGGCAAGGTGAAATGCGAAGTGACTACTAATGGGTAGGATTTATTCTAGGGGTGATAAAATGTTCCAAAGTTGTTCTAAAGTGATGATGGTTGCACAACTCTGAATATACCAAAAATCATTGAATTACACTTTTTAAATGGGTAAATTTTATGATATGTGAATTACATATAGCTTAATAAAGTGATTAGATTCCAAATTTAAAATGTACATTCATCAAAAGATATATGTATATATACGTATACACATATCTTTTTCTGATCCAAAAATGTACAAATATGTATGTATGGGGGAAAGACTAGAAAAGACAACATACAGAAAAATATATCCAAATAACCAATAAATATAAAAATTTAACATATATCTGGAACATATCAATTAAAATGATAAGGAGATAATTCTATATCCCCAAAATTATGCTAAAATGAAAAAGATATAAAATGCCAAGTGTTGGTGTTGATATGCATCAAGAGGTACTTCCATAAACTGCTGGTTCAGGAATAACTTGATACCACTACTTTCCAAAACTCTTTGACAATATTAAGTAAAGCAAAGCATATATGCATAACTCTGACTGTCAATAACACTTATTGATATATATCATACGTGTTCATCAAAAAAAATGTACTAGAATATTCATAGCGGCACAGTTTGTGAAAGCAAGAAACTCAAATGCTCATCAGTATTTTGATGTATAAATGAGTTGTGGTATATTGACGTAACTGAGTACTCTATGGGGAGACAGAAGCACACGGTAAAGGAGATAAGGCTCAAAAACATGATATTGTACAATGGAAGCCCAATACATAGGAGTACATGCTATATGATTCCATCCATTTAAAGGGCAAAATCAGGCACAATTAACCTACGCTGTACACCAGGTTAGTGGATACTCAGAGGCTGAGAAGATTGGATAGAAGAGAATTTATGTGAACGATCTGGGGCACTGGTGATGTTCTATTTCAATGTCCAAGCTCTGGTTATATATATGGCTGTGTTCAATTTGGAAACTAAAGGAATTGTATACATAGGATATGTGCATGTCTGGCATGTGTATGCTTTAATGAAAAGTAAAAATATGAGCGACATAACCATGTTTTCTCTTCATAGCTATAGATTACTACCTAAGTATCATTTCCCAATTCAATTTGAAGATGTATATAATTCCTTAAAGTGGTTCTTACGCAAAGAAGTTCTTGCAAAATATGGCGTGAACCCCGAGAGAATTGGCCTTGTTGGAAGTAGTTCAGGAGGGAATTTAGCTGCAGCAGTAGTGCAAAAGGTATGATGCTCATCATTTCTAGGTTGTATTTTTAAAAAGTGTCTACTAATAAACTATTTTAATGCATATGTTAAAATATAAATTCAAATATAAGGATAGTGATTGTCTGAAAATATCAAAGAGAATATTGAGAACAAATGCGTTAAACATCAAAATGTCAATCTGTGCTCCTGTCATGGATTTTTTTTTCTTAGTGAAATCATAATTGTCTAAATAGATTGTTGATTTAAAATTATATGATATGTGTCAGTAAAATATTACACTAGCCAGATGAATGAGATTATATACTTGCAAGACCATACAATGATGCTTTCATGCTATTAACTGTTCAGATGGATTCAACAATTTACAATGGAGAATTTCTCTATTGCCAGAAAAGTCACACTATTTTTAGAAAATTAATAGCACATTCAAAGATTTCTATACTACCTACAAAAAAGAAATAAAGTATCAAGAGATTTCTTTATTTAAAATTGATTACTTTATATCATTTAATAATATAATAATAAATAATTTTTCTTTCCAGATTATATGTAAAATAGGTTTTGTTTCTATGAACAGGAAAAAAAAAATACCATTGATTGTTTAAAATCTAATCTCATTTAGTACTGTGAGCCAGGAAGGGAAGTTACCTATGAACTTGGTGTAGAAGTTTGGATTTTATTAGTTGACTTGATAATAAAGTATGGGTTTAAAGCAATTAAAAAACATTCATGTTATATGTTTCATTAAATATATATTTTTTACACTAAAAAGTGGGTTCAAAAGGAAATTATAATTAGGCTTTGTTCCAACAACAATACAGAACAGAAATTTGAAACTTCCCAGAGGGCATTTCTGAGCATTGGTGTAGGTTTTATAATATAGCAGAAAAAGCACTAGGTTAGGTACCAAGTATTAGGTTTTCTTGAGATGCAGTAATTTCCAGATGTAATCTTGACTGGTTTATTTAATCTTGCTAAGTACCCATTTCCTCAGTTATGAGGCAAAATGAACACTTTCAACTTTACAGAGTAGTTTTGAAGGTCATATGTACAAATTTGTAAATATAACTGATAACCTGTAATGATACCTAGAAATGGTCTCTAAAGTATCCAAAATGACCTATTTTGACCATTATAGTTATAATGTTAATAAACACTGCAATTTGCAAAATATTTGAGATATATTCAACATTTGTATTTTTATATAGAAGTTATATACATCTTTTATAGTATTCTATATTATGCACTTTGAAAAACATGTAAAACTGAATTTTAAAGTATGTATTTTCAAAAATTAAAACATATTTTCTAATTTTATTCTAACTTATGGATCACTTATTTTGTTCTCTCTAGTATTTGTTCACTCTTCTTTGCAGGCTACAAATGTTACCTAGTACCTAGTACCTAGGCCTGAAAAGGAAATTTGATTTCGAAACGAATGTTTCACACAGAAAACCTGTCCTAATCACTTAAAATAGTATGTCACTTTAGAATCAAAGCCAATTCAGAAATCTCTATTAAGTGATCCTTTCTCTCCATGGCAAAGCCTATTGGTAGACTAGTATTTTTAATAAACTCTTAACATTACCAAAAGAGTAAAAAGGTCAAGTTTATGCAGTCCTTCTGGCTGTCATTCTTGGTATAAAGGATAGAACATTAAATTTTTAATTAGCAATATTGCTAGATATTTTTGCATTATCCTTAAGTACAGAACAGATAATTCTCAAATTAAAATTATCTTTTTCCTCAAAAAAAGTAGAAATAGAACTACCATACATTCCAGAAATTTCACTTCTGTGTACCTATCGGAAGAAAACGAAAATACTAATTCAGAAAGATAGTTGCTCCCCTGTGTTCATTGCAGCATTATTCACAATAGCCAAAAAATGGAAGCAACCTAAGTGTCCATCAATATATAAATGAATAAAGATGTAGTGTACACACACACACACACACACACACACACTAAACTATTACTCAGTCATGAAAAAGAATGAAATTTTGCCATTTGTGACTATATGGATGGATTTAGATGGTATTATGCTAAGTGAAGTAAGTCAGATAGAGAAGGACAAATGCCATATGATTCATTTACATGCAGAATCTAAAAAAACAAAAACAAAACACAAAATAGATTCATAGATATAGAAAACAAACTGATGGTTGCTGGAGGAAAAGGGATGGGTTGATTGGTAAAAAAAAAAAAAAAAGGTGAAGGGAAAGAAGTGGTACAAATTTCTTTTAAAAAATAAATAAGTCACAGATATGTAACATCCAGCATAGAGAATATAGTCAATAGTATCAGAATAACTTTGTAAGGCAACAGATGGTTATTAGATTTATTGTGATTGCTTTGTAAGGTATGTAAATGTTGAATAACTATATTGTACACCTGAAAATCATATAATATGGTTTGACGACTCTAATTTTAAAAGTATTCTTTCATTAAAGAGTTTCTAGTTCAAGAAGCCCATTTTGAATATTTGAAAGTTTGTTGAGATAGTATATTTCAATTATTACTAAAGTCTTTTTGAGATTACGAATTTACACAGAACTTATTTTGTTATAGTTATTTTATAGTTTTACAATGAAAATATTCTGTGAAAGTAATCTTAATTGTTCCTCAGATCTTAGATGATCCAGAGAGCAAGTTCAAACCCAAGATCCAGTCTTTATTTTATCCTGCCCTTCAGATTCTTGATATGGATACACCATCATATCAAGAAAATTCAAATTTTCTACCGTTCAGACGACTCATAGCCAGGCTCAGGAGCGAATATCTTTCAATAGATAGATCACTTGAAAAAACTATTTTTTCCAACCAAATTGTACCTGTGGAATCAAGTCATTTACTTAAATTTGTTAATTGGAGTTCCTTACTCCCCAAGAGGTTTATAAAAGGACATGTTTATAATAATCGAACTTATGGTAGTTCTGAGCTATTAAAAAAATATCCAGATCTCTTGGACGTGAGAGTGTCTCCCTTGTTGGCTGATGACAAGAAGTTGCGTAGTTTACCTCAGACCTACATCGTCACATGTCAACATGACATCTTTAGAGATGATGGACTCATGTATGTCACCCGACTTCAAAATGCTGGAGTTTCAGTGACGCATAACCACATTGAGAATGGAATCCATGGATTACTTTCCTTATCGGGACTCAAAATTACTCACGAGATGAAAAATCAATATTTGAGTTGGCTAAGGGAAAATCTATAGTAAAATACATATCAATGACATATTTTAAAAATAAAGTAAATCCCAAGACATCAGAAAACCTAGATGTTAGAAATTGGCCTTCCTTGGAATGGTCTAGTAAGGTTCACATGTAAAATCATAATTCTTAACTATAAATAGTCGCTCTTCTCTTTTTTCGTTCTGAGGAATTTCATTCAATTTTCTAAATTGTTTATCTGCTAGTTCTCTAAGATTTTTCCTGTTAACATTGTTAATCTTCTTAAAATGTCTTATTTTCTTGTATATTCTTTTTCTGAGTTGGCTATTATTTACGATTGCAGAAAAATTAATGCAAGCAAATATTGCTCATCTAAGTAATGACAAGATTTTAATCAATGGTCTGAAATACTCCTAACTCCTCTATGTAAGTGCCAATTTTTTTCAAAAGCAATTGCCTCAGTTTAATGCCATTTTATTGTAACTACTCACTTGAATATTCTAGCTAGGCAGAAACGAGGTATGGCAAAAGATGAGTTACATATGAGGCTATTCCATTTTATCGGGACTTCAGTAGCTATCCCAGAAACTCCAATCAATAGACTTATGTTTCATTTTCTAGGACTATGTCACCAGGAATTTTGCAAAATGGGGGTTTTATAGTTGAGAAAATTATGTTTTCTTAAGCTAAGGAGTAAGAAAATAGCCCGCAACTAAGAGAATGTGTTACACATATTTATAGCAATAAATTGTTTTAAAAATACAATCTTGGAATAATTTTCTGAGTAAATAAGGGAATTGAAAGTTAATATTAAATGTAATGAATATATATACTGAATCTGTGGTCTCAAATTGGTTATCTCTGTACCATGTACAAACAAAAAAAATGTGTTGATTGCTTTAAAATAAACTTTTGAGCTTATCCATGGCTGGATTGTTCCATTTGTTCCTTCCTCAAGGGTAGGAGGCAGTGGCACTAATATGAATGCTTACAAACATCTTTTGACCGGAGAGCTGAGTACTCAAAAGTCACCTATATTTTCACATTAAACAAATATTCTCTTTGACAATTAAAGTCATAGGGGCATAAAGAAGACAAGAGGAGAGAGCCAGAGAGTTAATGTACTGGGATTCATGAAACTAACATTCTGAAAGTAGTCACTATATCTGATAAGAATGATAACATTTTTAGAACAGTTTAATTTTTACTGAAATTTAATGGCAATAATGCAATTTCAAAATAGGGTTATCCCTTGGGGTTGGGGAAGGGTGAGACAAAACAAAACAAAAAAACCTAGAAAATTCCAAGCAATTCCACTTTCAGGTATTTTCTCAAAACAAAATAAAACATAGGTTCAAACACACACAACTGGTACAGGTATGTTCCTTTTAGCTTTATTCATATCAGCAAAGAATGGGGGGAATTCCTTCAACTTTTGTCTTTCTCTTAAACTTTCAACAACTGAAATGTAGTGCTTACTCGACGTACACTGCTTTCATTATTTTTCTTCATACCATAAGAGCTGGAGGTGAGGCATGGCTTTACTTATTGTTCCTTACAGACTACTCCCTCTGACTCCAGCCCTGTTCAGGAGTCAGAAAACTACAGCCTGCAGGCCCAATACCTTCTGTTGCCTGTTTTTGTACAACCCTAAGCTAAGAATGGTTTACACATTATAAAGCATTGTAGTGGGGAGGGTGGTGGGGGGAGGAAAAATAAAAAAAAAAAAAAGAGGAAGAGGAGGAGGAGATATGTGACTGGCAAAGCCTAAAATAGTTATCATCTGACTCTTTACAGGAAAAACTTGCAATAGACCATACCACCACAACCCTTCCTTTTTGGGGTCATCTTCTGAGCCCTGGATTCCTTCACTTTATGTCTCAAGAGATTTTATCTTTGAGCTCACTGTCAACGTCTCATGACTGTATTGGTAGTGTTATTTATTTAGATGATCCATTAAGCATTCTGGTCTCTCAACTATTTGATATGTTCTCTTGAATAAAACAGTCTTGGGGTCATGCCCTAGAATGTGTCATGACCAACAACCGTGCCCCTTTTATTATCTCAGTATCAAGCACTCCAACTCATTCCTGTTTTGTCTCCAAGCTCAATATCATTTGAAACAGGTGGAAACTCAAATTCATTGATTATAGCAATGTTTCCTCACTTCTCTCATAAAATTTCTTATTATCTGAAGTATGGATGACCTATGGTCAGAGTAATCCCTCTCTTGTGTAATCAACTCCCTTGTCTCTTTACTTAACTACTTGTTTGTCACCACTTCAAGCTGAATAAGTCCATCTTTCTGCCTGTTCTACACATCTACCTTTGCAGATGAACGTGGTTGAAGGAAAACAAAGAAGCATGATAAAATGTCCCACTTGAATCAAAACTACAAACTTCACGTATGCCCTTAATGATTTCCAGTAATCATACTACAGTTTTCCAGTCAACTGAGCCTTCTAATTTACTCAACTACTTAAATCTCCTCCACTTTGACTCCACCAACCTTTATCTCAGCTGATAAACTTGCTTCCTGTTTTATTGAGAAAACAGAATCAATTCAAGCAAACTTTCACAAGTTCTCACCCCACGTTGACCCAAGCACTGGTATCCTCACCCATACAGTCTATCTCACCTCCTATTACTAGAGATGAACTAAGGATTCTCACCTCCTTGTAAGTTTTGTTTTTCTGTTTGTGCACTTGATCCCAACCTCTTCTGGATTCTCAAAGGAGTTACTCTAGTTCTCTCCTTTCTATCCTTCATCATCATTTTCTCCCTTTCTAGTGGACTGTTCTCTTTAACATACAAATATATTTCTTTTCCACGTATCTTAAAAAGCAAATAGCAAACAAAAAAAAAAACTTTTTCAACATCACTTTCTTCTCCAGCTTATTCCCTAGAATTTTCTGTATTTGCTGTCTCTATTTCCTCTCACTTCATGAACCACCAATATTGCCTTTTCAAGGTTGACAGTGATCTCTACATTGTTAAATTCAGTCATTCACTCCCTCTTCCTTTAAATACTTTCTTCAGTTGGTTCCAGGTGGTCAAACACTCCTAGATTCTCTCCTACCTCCTGGGCCACTTGTTCTAAATCTCAGTGGCTAAATCTATCTGTGACCTCTTCTCGGTGAAGTGCTTCCAGTCTCAGGACTTGGACTTCTCTGGTTCTGATCTCTAGTCATAGGCTTTACATGGCCTGTATGCTGAAACTCCCAACTCGCATCTTCAGCCTGAATTTCCTTAGTTCCAGATTAGTCACCTAGAGTAGGCAGTCACCTGCCTAATCACCACTCATTTATTATCTCATTTTAGTAAATGGCAATGCCCAAATCCTTTGTATTGGCTCAGGTCAAAACGATATTCAAGTCAAACCTAATTCCAAGCTTTCTGTCATAGTCTATGCATTATCAAATCCTTTATACCTTCAAAGTCTTTGCAGAATTCAATTATTTCTTAACACCTCCACTATTAATAACCCCTATGACACACCATCGCTTTCACTTTTATTATTCTCATAGCATCCTAATAGGTCTCTCTGCCTTTACTCTGTCCCCTTAGATGTTACTCTTAACACATCAAACAAGATGACCTTTTTAAAATGAAAGACAGAATTTGGAGCTCTTCTGCTTAAAATCGCCCCGAAGCTTCTCATCTCAGGCAGAGTATAAAATAAATTCTCACAATGACTGTAGCTAGTTCTTACAATGTCCCACTCTGTCCTACACACAATGTAGGCTACTATTTATCTTTACTTTCATTTCATATCATGCTTGCTTTCTATATTCCAAGTACTCTGACCTCTTTGATATTCCTCAAATTCCAATCTTAGGGACTTTGCTGTTCCTTTGTTTTCAACAACCTGCCCTCGGATGTCCACATCCTCAAACATTACCTTCTCATGGAGGCCTTTTATCATCACTCTATTTAAAATTATATACAACCTGTTCTGTCCCTATCACAGTGCCTGATTTTTTTTCTTGCCTTCAAATAGGTCAAACTTAATTTCACCTGTTTGATTGCTTCATAGAATTTATTACTCTCTGAGATGATCTTGCTCCTTTATTCACTCAGGTTAGTGTCACTGGTTTTTGTCATTCGCATACCTTGCCGTTTCTTGATAAGGTAATAACTAACATAGTTTTTTCATTCTTCTTTAATTAATCTGTTACTAGAAACAGAATGTGAGATCCATTAACTAATCTACCTTTTCTCATCATACTCTCTTTTGCAAGTGAGAAAATCAAACGAGCAATTCAACTAACAAATAGACAAAAATTGTTAACAAAGATCTTATTGCTGAAAACTTTCTTAAGATTTTTTCACAAGCAGGCTACAGTAATGGGCAAATTCTAAAAAGTGACTAAATCGTTACTATAATAATGTCAAAGGGTGAGATTAGTGTTAGAAATGGAACCCTGGTGGCCAGTCACAGTGTTCTCTGGTACTGTGGTCCCCATTCATGGGGAACCAGTGCCATTAGTTCTCTTATCTATTTCAAAAACAGCAAGCAAGGAAATTTTCTAAACAATAAAACTTTATGCAGGGGATTTAAGGTGTGCCATACTCTACACCCTCAGTGCACTTATACATTCTAATATTTTGGAAGGAGCAAAGAGTTTGTTTCATATTGTTACAGAAAAAGTAAAGTTAGCTTGTCTCTCTCCATGAGATTTCAATGTACAGAAGCGTTAAGAAACACTGCTTTAGGGAGCGAAGAATATTCCTTGTTCACAGGCAAAACTCCAACAATATTTAAATGATTCAGTTTCCCAGTGGATATCACTTATGGAGCACTTAAAATGTATCAGACCTAACTTTAGGCGATGTACGTCTTAGAATATCCTAGATGTATGTCATAGAACTAACTGAGTATATAAATATAAATATGTATGTGTATGCAGGAGCACATGTGTGTATGTCTATATATATGTAAATTTTTCTCACAACTTTATGAGGTACATAGTAATATTAATTTGTATTTTGCATAGAAAGAGAAAATAAGTTATGTGCGTTCCCAACGTCACATGGCTAATAA